GGGCACGAGGCTTGCTGGGGCCTTAGCCCAGAACATGTACATCATGGCAAGGCCCCTACTTGAGGGCTCAATCCTCACATTCCATCCCCCTTAGCTTCAAAAGTCCGCTGAGATGCTTACTTCGAAGGTGCCTTCCCTTTCAGTAGCCTCTCATATTCTGCCACCACTTGAGGAGCTGTCTCAATCAGTTCCTCCCTGGTAAACCACAGATCTTCTTTCGGATCCGTATGATGCCTGAATCTGACGCGGTATTCTCTCTTGGGTTTAGGAGGTCTTCCTCGACCCAGTGGCTTCGGAACAGGCATATCCCTGTGATCCACAATGTCGTCGATGTCCACTTGTCCATCCATGGTTGGGGGCAGCATCGATCTCCTGGAAGGGAATTGATCTGTCTCAACGAAAGGTGCAAGCTTTGAGGCATGAAAGACTGGGTGAGTGCGTAGGTGTCCAGGGACACGAATGACATATGCGGGACCATCCATCTCCTCTCCCACTATATCCAGGACTTCCCAGGGACCAAAGTACTGAGGCATTAGTTTGCGAGAGATTCTGAACTCCTGTCCTAACTCACTAGCCTTGACCCAAACTCGTTCCCCTACCTGAAATGTGGACTGTCTACGATGTTGATTCTCAGAAGCAATCATTGCTTGCTGAGCTTTCTTCATATGCTCGACAGCCTCTTGCAGCAACTTCTCATACTGCACACCATACTCTAGTGTGCCTGGAGTTGCAGCGGGTCGGTTTTCAGGCAGAAGGAAGTCTAGTGCTGATCTAGGCTTCCATCCCAAGTGCAACTGATTAGGACTAACGCCGGTACTGCTATGGATAACATTGTTGTACAGGCAGGCGATGAGAGGCAACTGCTCATCCCAATCATCTTGGCTGGGCTTGATGTAATGCCTCAGCAAGTGCTGTACGACTCTGTTCATTTGTTCGGCTTGTCCATTGGCTTCGGGATGATTCCCTGAAGTCATTTGAAGTTGACTGCCCATCTGTTCTGCAGTCTTCTTCCACAGCTCACTTGTGAATCATTCATCTCGGTCACTAACAATTGACTTTGGTAAACCAAAGTCACGCACCCAGTTATCTTTGAACAACTTGATGACGTAGTCAGTTCTTGCGGTCTCTGGCATAGCCACTAGTCTAGCGTACTTGGTGAGTCGGTCGATGATGACGAAGATGTGCCTCTTGCCACTCTTACTAGTCACCAGGGTGTCCATGAAATCCATGGAGACACTCTGTCATGGACCAGCAGGGATAGGCAAAGGCTTCAACAACCCAAGCGGTGCTTGAGTTCGCGGCTTGTCCCGCTGACAGACTTGACAGGTCTCTACGTACTTCTTCGCGTCATCCAACATACCAGGCCACCAAAATCGTTGTACTAAGTTAGCACTCTTCTTCTTGTAGCCAAAGTGCCCGGTTGCGTCATGACATTCACCTAAAAATAAACTACGCAGACGTTCACTAGATGGAACTACTAACCTTTTTATTCCTGCCTTATCGAGATAGAGTAACCCGTCCACCATCACAAACTCACTTTCCGTGGTCTTGTCTTTTGCCTGAAGTTTGTGCATGATGTCCATTGTGACAAGGTCTTCCTGATAGGCTCCCAACAATGATTGAGTTACTTCATTAGATACGCCAAATTCAAAAACTAGCGCACCTAGGTAGTCTGCTCTACGGGATAGCGCATCCGCAACCTTGTTGTACTCTCCCTTTAAGTACTCAAGCTTGAAGTCATATTGGTCTATGACCTCAATCCATCGCTTGAGTGCATCAGAAAGAGCCGGTTGAGTTTTGATCCATTTGAGGGTCTGATGATCAGTCCTCAAGTAGAAGAACCTTCCTAATAGGAAGTGTCTCCAATGGACAAGTGTTTTATACAGAGCATAGAGTTCCCTTTCATAGGTGGATTCTGCCAACTTCTTTGATGGCATCTTCTTACTCATGTACTCAATCGGTCCCAACTTTTTCCCATCCTGCTGAGCCAGCACTGCGCCAATGCCGTATTGGCTTGCGTCAGTGGTCACTATGAATGGCTTCTGAGGATCGGGAACCATGAGGACCTCATGATTCATGAGTGCATGCTTCAATCTCTTGAAAGCACCCTCGCACTCATCACTCCAAGCCTACGGTGTGTCAAGTTGAGTAAGATCAGTCAAAGGAGAGGCGATTGTAGAATAGTTTTTTACGAAGTTTCTATAGTAGCCGCACATTCCTAAGAATGATCTGACCTCAGTGACTGTCTGAGGTCGTGGCCAGTCTCGAATCCTAGCCACCTTCGCATCTTCCGGCCTTATCCCCTCCGTGGATACTTCATGACCCAAGTATAGTATCTTAGTGCGGCCAAACTCGCACTTCTCTAAGTTGACCTTATACTTGTGCTATCGTAGGAGTGAGAGTACCTTCTCAACATGTTGTGCGTGCTCCTCGACAGATTTACTAAAGATTAGAATGTCGTCTAAGTAGACCACGACAAACTTATTTAAATGGTCATGGAAGATCCGATTCATAGCGTGCTGGAATGTTCCCGGCGCGTTACAAAGACCAAAAGGCATCACTACAAACTCATACAGACCATAACGAGTCTGAAAAGCTGTCTTGTGTTGGTCCTCTGGCCTTATAGCGATCTGATGATAGCCGGATTTCAAGTTTATCTTGCTATAGTACTTGCATCCCTGCACCCTATCCAATAGGTCGTCTATGCGAGGTAGAGGCTTTGCGTTTTTCACTGTGATGGCATTGAGGCCTCTATAGTCAATGCACATCCTCAAAGTACCCCCGTTCTTCGATACGAATAGAACGGGCGATCCATAAGGGGAAGTACTAGGCCGGATCCATCCCTTCTCTGTCAGCTCCTTAAGCTGTCGTCGAAGTTCATCTAACTCGGCGGGGGCCATCCTATAGATCCTTCCCTTTGAGGTCTTACTCCCTGGAATGATTTCTATAGCGTGGACGACTTCCCTTTCAACAACTCATGTGGGCTCCTCGAACAGATCAGGGAACTTAGCAACGACGCGTTCTATCTCTGGGGGTGTTTTAACGGCCTCCCCTTTCTCAGAGACATACACAAGGTACATACTCTCCTCTTCATTTTGCTTGTAATAATTGTAGAACGTTGATGCGCACTAGCAGCCATAGGTATCTATAATGCTACTGGCCTTGAACTTAGTCAATCTGACAGTTCGGCCATCGGGCAACTTATGCTTGAGCACCTTCTTATCCCAGTCAAACTGGGGCTTAGCAACTTCGAGGTAGTACATGCGTAATAACATGTCGAATGGTAAGTCGTCGCTAACCAAGAACGAGATCTTATGGTTAAGTTCACCTCCTCCATAGGAGAAGGTACAGACTACGTCCTTGATGTAGTCTGTTACGATCATGCGCTCCTTGTTGGCCAAAGTAAATGCTACAGGTCTACTAAGGTGCCGAACCCGGTCCTGTAGGTGCAGCCTTTCCAAACGGTCGCGACTTATGTAATTCCGTGTGGATCCGATGTCTATGAAGGCACCACATTTGCGACCTCCTACATCCACTTCCACCACAAAATGTTCCCCTCTAGGACCTTTCTTCAGTGCCACCCAAGACTCGCGAGGGTCCTTGTTTGACCACTCACCTTCTAAATCTTCTAAGGCCTCAGACACATCTAACGTATAGATCATAGTTTGGTCTAGATGTGTCTGCGGGGTGGCTAAGGAGTCATTAGCTTCGGCCTTGTCATGAAGTGGGGAGGGTATCAAGCCCACGTCATCTTGAGTAGAAGCCGCTAAAACTTCCACTGGCCTCACGCGTTTCCCGAGCTTGAAGCCTGGGAATAAGATGCCCCCATCTTTGGTGGTATCTTTTGCGTAACCTTTGCGTTTTGGCACTTGTATTGCGAGTGTCCGTATTCCCCACAATTGATACAAGCGCCACACACTTGGAGGTCACGCCACATGTCTTGGCCAAGGCCTGCCTTTACCCATTGAGCCTGCTTGGTCTGATTGGAGGCGGCCTTTCCTTGACTCCTAGGTTGGCCCTTCCCTTGGCCACCTGCCTTAGTCTTGACTACCGTGGCGAGGGTGCTACCCTCAGCTACCTCCTCGCCGTCAAACTCTGTATAGTCCATCAGGTCAGTGAGCTCGTCGATCTCCGTTTGAGTCCCATCGGACTCAACCATCATCAACTTAGCCCCCTTCTTCTTTTACTCTTGAGGACTCTTCTTCTTCCTCGTGTCAATCTAAGAGGTTGGTTGAGCATTGCCTAGCGTGGCCTCCAAATCTAAGGCTTTCCTAGACAGTGTCTCAAAGGAATGGTACTCAGTGCGTGCCTCGCTGGCCAGTAAGTTCCTGATGTTTTCTGGTAAACATCTAACAAACGTAGTTAACATGAACTGGTCACTGTAGTTGATGCCTGGGACGAGGATCAGGCTCTCAACAATAGTCGTAAGCTCTCTGACCGACTTGAACTTTCGTTGGTCCAGCTTGTTAATCGCATCAGTGGCTCTTTGTGCCTCCTGTGGATTATGCCATCGAGCTTCTACCATTTCCATGAATTGGTCTAACGTCAGAGACTTAGCCCAGTCCGCCATGCATCGCCCATACCCGGCCTTTACAACTACTCCATCTAGCCACTTGGCTGCCTTCCCCTCGAGGTAAGATGCAGCGGTTACCACTTCGTCCTCTAGCAAGGTCCTCTTGGCCTTTACCCAAACCGGGACTGTCCTCAACCATGTGTTGAGTTGTCCTTCCTCTCGCCTGAGAAGGCAAGAGGCGGTTTCATTGCGGTCTTGGGGTACCATTGACCTTGCTGCTGTCCCTGTTGAGGAACAAAGTTGTTGCGGTGGTGTAGCTCCCACCGCTGGACCCGAAGAAGAAGATGCAACAGTCTGTGCGACTGCTGTAGACGTACCACTTGGCTGTGTGCCAGCTTGAACTGGAAAGGGGCCTGACATCGCCGATAACGACAACGGCGATTGTGCTGGTGGCCTGTATCCTGGCCTTGTCAATACATCCAGGATCTGGTCTAGAGTGCTCTGCATGAAGTCTTATCTGCTGTCCACGTGCGCATGCAACGACAACATATTCTTCTTCAGTACTTTCATTTGGTCAGACGATGCTGACTCGTCCAAGCCCTCTAACTCAGCCTTGTCAGCCTCTAAAGTATCAAGCCTGGCTGCTCTATTTTTTATCTCTCTTTCCCTATCGGTTGCCTTTTTCAGGTCCTTCTCTAACTTCTGGCGGAGCCTCTCGACCTGTTGGATCTCTCTGAGCTCCCTCTCACGTGGGGTCAACGGGCTGAACTGCGAGCCCGCCATTTGACTAGTAGACTATCGAGAACCCATTGAATTGGAAGTGCCCGTGTTGGCATTCCCAACTGAATCCCATTGGTCCCAGACAAAGCCGCAGAGGATGCTGCTGAGATAGTCATGGCTGCTGCCCTAGCTGCTGCGGCAGCCTGTTCCCTAGCTGCGGCGTTTAGTGGGGCCCTAGCTGCTGCTAGTGCACGGGCTCTCGACTATAAGCCGTCTTTCTTCTCCCGGTTGTAGGGCCTGGAACACGTGCCGTATGCTTAGTGCCTCTGCACGTGTTAGTCTCCTATTGTCAACTCTATCATCAACAGGGTCTGACCCACTCATTAGTTAGGCAGATAGTGTCTGCACTAGAATCCCCTTGTGGAATCCTACCACAACATGTATCTGACCGACACCTAATTTTCTATCAATAGTTGTGTCCGGCAAGTCCCCTACTGTACCGATCAAGTGGCATGACTACAACATTCACATAGATTGTCTACATAGTCTAGATGCACCCTGATTGGTTCACTTACAGCAGCATTAGACAAAACTGGCTATGGTAGCATACAACAGTCCTAATCTAATCTGTCTGTGAGGTTAGCAGTCCGTCCACCAACTAATCAAAAGTACAAAAAGACAATGTAGCAGATGTATGATGAGTGGGTATGGTTGTGTATTCAGTTGAGCATCAATTAGAACCTACCCTCCCCTCAATCCAACATACGGAACAGCATCATTGAGCAGGCAGTGTCTTCGTGTGTGTATCGGCCCACCCCTGTGCCCAAGTCGTTACCGAGCAAGCCAGCCCAACCACTCTTATTGACGAGCCTTCATGTCCATGTGATCTGGCTGATCAGGAAGAATTTATAGAGCGCCCCCATCTCTTCAGGAATTCTTTAACATCCAGTCAGGACGACGATCACAGCCAGAATCACAATGAACTCCCAACCAGAAATGTTTATAGACGGTCTGGTAAGCGTCTGTCATGGGCTGGCACACCCGGCAGGACTTCTATTTAGCGCAGCAAGTGCCARAATGGACAGCAGCCATCGCATGCGTGACCTACTCCCATTGGGTTGGCATGGTGACCGTGACCCAGTGCTTCGACCAGGGCCCTTCAGAGGCACCGCCCTTACTCCTTCCAGATGCTTCCGGGAAGATTGTCGTCTCTCAAGGTAGCGCGTTCACGACACCTCACCAAAAGAGAGGACTCTCAAGTTGGACTCACTTCCTCACGGTAAGAAGAGATTGAGAGAGTGGATAAGGTAAGGGAACAACGTACCTGGAGATAGCTGCCCCCAACCACAGATTTCTCACCAATTGAGCTGAGTGTGCATTTGATGACTGGTCTTGGCCTCGGTACCACCCACAACGTAATGCAGTGCCACCTTAGCCGAATGCCACATCAGCATGCTCTCATCACCAATCATACATTCCGCATGTCACCACGACATATACTGTCGTCTTAGCCTTCCGGCGCACCCCTCTCTACCCAGGGCGTGCGCCTATATATGGCCTGACGTCACAAGTACCAACTGCGAAGAAGCATCGTCAACGCACCAAGTCTGTATAACGCCAGCGTGCCAAAGGTAAGTGGCGATCAAACCAGCTCCGATACCAAATTGCAAGGAATATGAATATGGACGAAGCACAGAAATCCAGAATGCAAAATCACACTGAAGTCCAAGTAGTCAAAGCCAGAGCAGATAGCACAATGGAACCAAGTAACCATCCAATTGAGAATGCTACAGAAGAATCGTGAGTCAATGTCCATGCCCAACAGGGCAACACCAACAGCATAACCCAATGTAGCTCTCTCTTATGAATGGCGCCAGGCACCCTATCTACTCTACAGCCTAGCATACAACTACAGCAATGAAAGCAACCAGACAACTTGACTACCAGCGAGTGATGATGTCAACACCAATGCCGACCTCCACCTCCACCAGGTACGTGTCCTCTTCACCCACAC